TGGGGAGCAAGCAAAGCTTTGTGTGCAGAACTGGGCAGGCTGCCATGGGGGTCTTGGGTCTGGAGTTGGATGGAAGTGGCAGAAGCAGGATGGAGCAGGAGCACTGTCAGATGGGGTGACTGGGACTGGAGGTGGAGCAAGGTGGGGGGATGGCCCTGGCCAGTGCGGGACAGCAGCTTGTGTGCTGGTGGGTGGGGACCAGCACCCCCAACCCTGGGGGTCTCTGGACAGGCAGATGTCCCTGCTGCCTGCCACGTCCTGGGCTGGCAGCGCTGCCCCAGCCAGGGGCTGCCCCTGGGAAGTGGGAAGCTCACCCTTGCCCCTCGTCCCCAGGCCCTTCCACCTCACAGGACCACCGGCCAGCCACGACCCACAGCCACGTCTCCCGAGCACCGGCGCTCGTCCAGACACTCCGGCCCCGCCAGACGTCGTCAGCCCCCAAACAGCTGGACAGGACTGGGTGTCCAGTGCTCGACAAGGGACGTCTTCTCAGCAGACACAGGAATTTGTGAAAGCTGCCCTCAAAAAGATGACTTTTTTGGTTTTATTAAGTTAATAAAAAAAACATAAAAATGCAGACATAGCCTGGTCCCACCAGCCTCTCTCTTCCTCAGGCTCCCTGTTGCTCCTCAACCTTTCTCCTCCCTCCTGTCTCTCTGCCACCAGGCTGAACACAGGAGCAGTTCCAAAGGCAGGGGGACACACAGGCACAGGGGGGACATGGGGAAGCCACGCCGAGCATGGATCCCCCCTGTCAGCACTCCTGCAGAGCTGCACCGTGTCCCAGCGGAGGAAGACCATAAGCTCAGACCAGTGTCTCTGCTGTGGGGGTGAAGCACCATCTGCGCAGGGATGCTCATCACACTGTGGTGGGAATGAAACGTAGCTGAAAGTGCTGCAAATTACATGGAAGTGACAGTTAATTAAACACTCAGAATCCAGAGAGAAGTCCAGAAGACTCAGTCGCGTTGAGGATGAATATGCATATCCATGGCTAGTAAACACATTTATCATGAGCAAAGAGAGCAAAGCCAGGCTTATTCCACACTCCACAATGCAAGAGGAAACCCAGACATGAGTGCGAGTTGCCTTGTAAAAGAAGAAAAGTCTGACACAGCAGAGGAGGAACTGCCTTAACTGTAACTTAGTTGTAATCCAAGAAAGAAAACCCTGACCCTCCATCTCTCATGTGCAGTTGCTGTGCCACTCTGGGCACTAGGTGGGCAGCAAGAGCTTTCTGTGTGGGCACCTTTGGTCTGGGAGGAATCTTCACTTGTATTCAGTTTTGGGGAGGTGGGAGCAGCAATTGCAGCACAGGGCTGAAAAAAGGGAAGAGCAGCCCTTTCCCCCAGGACAGAAAGCCTGTGAGTCTTGTCTTTCAGGTGCAGTTGGTGGGGCAGCCTGGAAAGAAAGCCCTTACTGTCCATCTCTCAGGTGCAATTGGTGGGCCACTCTCAGCACTACGTGGCCAGCAAGAGCTTTCTTTGCGAGCACCTTTTGTCTGGAAGGAATCTTTGTCCGTCTTGAATTTTGGCAGTCGGACTCATCTAAAGATCTCCTGAATTACTGGTCTCATTTGCTTATTTTGTGAAGAAATATCAATAAACATGGAATTTCTTGGAACTCATGGATAAAGGGAAGTGGGAAGGGAAGAGTTCACAGCCCCAAGGCTTCCAGAGCTCTCAAGTAGGGTTTGGATAACACTCTCAGGGACATGGTGGGATTTTGGGGTTTTCCTGTGCAGGGGCAGGAGTTGGGTTTGATGATCCTTTTGGGTCCCTTCCAGCTTAGGATATTCCATGATTTTATGATTCTTTAAACACAATAACCTGAGGAAGAGTCAATGTAGTTTTTAAAGGAATGTCATGGCTCAGAAATCTCTTACTGCCGAGACGGTGTGTGTGGACAATAGTGAGCTGATCTGTGTAATGCCATCCAAAAAAGCTTTAAAGAAGATGTATCATAGAGTTTTCAGGGACACTCAGCTGTAAGACATCAACAGCTTGCAAAGCTGGGAAGCAAAGATAAGGCAAATTGGTGAAAATGCAGAGATTTCCTGTCGGATGCTCAGAGTGTCTCCACTGGGACTGGAATTTTCAGCATGTTCAAAAGTGGTGGAGAAAAGGCCATAAATAGCACGGTGACAACATTTCTGGTGGAGAAAATAGTTCAGAACTGTCATAGCTAAAGGTGACTGGAAGGATTTCAGGCTGCACGACGAGTGGGTGATAACATGGAAAATGAGATTCAATGTTGATAAGGATAAAGCAAAGCACATCCCTCGCTGTTCATGGGGGGACTCTAAATTAGCTGATGCCAGTCAAGAGCTGAGGGTAACTGTAGGCAACTCTCTGAAAACATCAGCTGAAGGTTCAGGACTAATTAAAAATTTAAAAAGGCTCCAGAAATTGCAAGGAAAATATCACTTGCCCCTTATAAAGAAGGGGGTGCTCATGGGTGTGTGTGGCTTTGGTGCCTGGCTCAGAAAAGATGGAGAAGAACTGGAAAAGGTCACAGAGATGGAGAAAATGTGTGGTCAGAGGTGGGAATAGCATCCCTGTAAGAAAAGGCTGAATAGATCAGGGCTGTGTTAGAAATGAGATGAATGAGGATCCAATCCCCTGCCATGGGCTGGGACACCTTCCACTATCCCAGGTTGCTCCAAGCCCCATCCAGCCTTGCCTTGAACACTTCCAGGGATGAGGCAGCCACAGCTTCTCTGGGTAACCTGTGCCAGGGCCTCACCACCCTCCCAGCCAGGACTTCCTTCCCAATATCCCACTTATCCCCACCTTCTGGCAGTGTTAAGCCATTTCCCCTTCTCTTATCCCTCCAGGCCTTTGTCCAAAGTCCCTCTCCAGCTCTCTTGGAGCCCCTTTAGGCACTGGAAGGGCACTGGGGATGCAGACATGGATGCAGTAGGAACAGGGAACAGTTAAAGATGGTTATTCTGCATTTTCACAGCTGGTAGTCAGACTAGATGATCTCCAGAGATCCCTTCCAACCTTCACTATTGTGTGATTCTGTGATTGTGGGGGTACCAGGCAAAGGAATGGCAAGTTCATCTCAGAATGTTGTGAAACCAGAAGTCTAAATGGACTCAATAAGGAATTGGACAAACTGATGGAGGACTGGAGCTGTTAAAATTCTCTGTGTGTCCAAAGCAAGGCTGACTGATGGGAACTGAGGACACAGGTACAAGTTCACCCTCAGCCACCCATTGCACAGGCCTTGGTGGGCACAGAGTGAAACCTTCCAAGCCCTCAGGGTATAAGAGGCATCCCCAGCCTGTCAGAACCATCTGGACATCTGTTCCTCAGGCCCCTGCAAGAATTGGCAGAGAAAGTCTTTGCACTTTCCTTCTTTGGCTGCAGATGAATAAAAGATCTGGAAAAAGAAGCAAATTATGTCTTTCTGTCATTCCCTTTTTCCCTGTGAATGATATGCAGCCATGCTGAGGACAGGTAGATGCCTGGGACAAGCAGCTCAGCACTCTCCCATCTCTTTGCTTTTTGCTGCCCCTCCCTGCCAGCATCCCACTCTCCCCTCTCCCCTCCCAACAGAATCAGAATGGCCTCAAATCTGCGTTCCTGAACTCATCATTCCCTCTTGTGCAAGCTCACAACATTCCTTAGAAGATGATTCTGAGGCTCACATTAAATCCTTTGGGACAGGTTGGAAAACCCTGCTTCAGAGAAATATGTTGTATTCTCTCTGCCTGTTTCTGCTATATATTCTCTGCTTGCCCAGAGAAGCTGTGGCTGCCCCATCCCTGCAAGTGTCCAAGGCCAGGTTGGACGGGGCTTGGAGCAAACTGGGACGGTGGAAGGTGTCCCAGCCCAGGGCAGGGGGTGGAACGAGATGGGCTTTAAGGTCCCTTCCAAGCCAAACCACTCTGTGTGTTCCTGATTCTTTATCCAATGAGGTTCTTGGTACCTTCTTCCCCACTCACACTCCTGTGTGAGCAGACGGTGCTGGTGGACTCTCAGCACTCCATGGGGCAGCTGAACAGAGCAACAAATGTGGAGCAAAAAATTGCAGCCTGCAGCTGGGCTCTTTATGGGAATACTTATGGACTCTCCTTGCCTGACAGACTTCCTTCCCGCTGGAAGCTGCCTGGCAAACCCGGGGCGAGAGCACCCTCTGGGGACCGGCAGAAATGTAACAGTGAGACTCCATTTCTCAAATCCCTTCTTTTCACATGGACTTTGCACTTTTGAGTGTTTCGTGATGGTCGTGGGTGCCTGCTTGCCTGCCCAGAAAGAGGAGCCTGATGGAGAGGGCTGGAAGCCACAGAGTGTTTCTGTTACTACAGGACAAG